CACTTTCAAGATAAACAAGAGGTAGTAGGTAAGCAAATTTCACCAGTGAAGCATGAGAGATTGCGAATCTTGTCTCTCCGCGAATAAGTACTAAAAATAGGTATTAAAGATCTGATGATATTTGATATAAAACGTTGCAGCGTTTATATTCTATAGGTGTTATTTGGAAATTTTGTAAATTTGTGTTGAGTCAATGTTCACAAGTCCTTTAAAATGAGCGCGAAGAGACGAATATAGAAAAAAAAAAAGAAAAGTAAACGAGGTGCATCAACACTCTCAACGCGGGGCTCGTCCGGGATTTGAACCCGGGACCTCCCGCACCCTAAGCGGAAATCATACCCCTAGACCAACGAGCCAGTTGGTGTTTCTTGCGATGTGTATAACTTAAATGAGAGTCTCACGGTACACGCGGCTCTTTTATTTACTTCCAAACACTAGGTTATGCAACTCTTACTTTTTCATTTAATAGTTGTTTTGTACATTTTATTATTTAAAACAAATATCACGAACATTTGTTATTTTTTGCAAAAATAAATTGCATTTCTTTTAAACAGTTTCCCTGCTTCGCTTCAATGTGCGACTAATAAATTTCTATGTATGCCTTTGATAACTATAAGCAGCAGCATATCAAAAGCGGCTGATGTTTTGAAATCAAAGCGTCAAAGTTTTCAGTTGACGGTCAATGTCGTTTCTTTTTTTTGTGACACAGATGTTGCATTAAATCTTAGTTCCAGTTAACTATTTGACGGTCTTTCAAGTGATAGGAAGTGAACGTGTTTTTTTAATTACTAAATCACGACAAAGCGTGTCTCCAAATTACGTCAAAATCAGTTAAAACATTTAATTCCTATATAGAATGTGCTCCTATCTTGCGATAGATTCCAATATGTATGCATTGCCTACGAGAACTTGAGACAGACCAATTTTTTATTATACCGATCGATTCAGAATCACTTTCTGATTTGATTTAAGAGTCTGTCCGTCTTGTGTTTCTATGTTCAGGCCATAATTTTTTAAATTTTTTGATGAAATTTGGTGTAAGTTGGCTATTAGTTCGAAACGAATGCTATTGGTTCGGAACGAACCACTTTTTCGACCAGTTTCCGCCGAAGTGGTGTGAGATTGGTCAAGTCCCATTGTAATGTTTTTACTTGACAGACACAACTATTTAGTTGCGTTTCGGTTCATTCTTAATAACGCACCACTCGTAGGGTACCAAACTGCGCTGCCGTTGGAGTTTTGATTTAACACATTGACTACCAGAGCACCTTAAAGGCTATTTTAATTTAATCATATTATATAATTAAAAATTCTGACCACAGTACGTAATGATCATCAAGACGCATATAAGGCAGTCTTTTTTTTTTTTTAAGAAAAACATCTTATGCACTATCGCGTAATCGGCTTATATCTCAGAAAGCTCTTCGCGGAAGCCAACTGAGAGTTAATTAGCTATGAGTGTATGAATATATTTTCAGTTCATTTATAAAATTTTCTGTTCATGTAAGTCAACCTTGATTTCTTGTTGTCTTCCTTCAGGCCATGTACTCATTTGTAATCGCAGCTATAGAGGTATTGTGTAGAGGTATTGTAAGTAATCAAACCAAAAATTACTTTGGAGTTGACGTTCTAGCCAATAACGTAAACTACCAGTTCCAATCAATTTCATTTACTTTATCTTTACATTTTAATTTAATTGTAGTTAATTCTCTTATATACATATCCTTATGTATGTAATCTTCGGTTAATGTTATATTATGTATTGTTTGTTGCTAACACAATCGATGTACACTGTGGTTGAAATATCTTGTCCACTGTTTGCATTAACTAAAATGGTAAATATTTAAAAAGTAAAAAAATTATACTCGGCTAGAGTCAAATGTTTTAAGCATCCCGTTTAAGAAAATTAAAAAAAAAAAAAACCTGAAAAATATAAAATTCCAATATTGTTTGCTATTAAGTGGTCGTGGCTGATCGTTTATCTTTTTGTGCAGATGCGGATAGGCGTGCAAATCCATATCGCCATGTCCACTTCAACTTATGAATAATAAACAACGCAGTGTGATTTCACCTTGGGACGCCACGAGCTCGCGGGTTCAAATCCCAAGCGATTCTGACGGATTTTTATTAAATTTTTAATTTAACTGATTCCAATTAAATTTTTTATTAACAACTATTTCCACATTTCTTATTTGTTTACATACTGCGAATTGTCAACTTAATTAATTTGACCTTCTCAATAACTAAAACTAACTAAAAAGGTAGAGCTAATATAGCTAGATGCCAGACGCGTAGATCTTCGAAGGCACGCTACAGGCAAAATTTATTCCCCTCTGCTCAGTTGAAAGGAACGAATAATCGATTGGAAGCCAGGATTGATGAGATCCTAATTCGAGAATATAAAACGCCAGACATACTGAGCCGACACCAGCTTATTTAACAAAAATCCGTTTGTTTATACGCATCCACACATCTGTGGATGTATTATTAATATTTTGAAAAAGTTGAGCACTGGCAACATAGGCTATAGACCCTACTAATGATATAAAAACGAAAGCAATTTGCATATTGCAGAAAAGATGCGAACAAATTTAGAAACATTGCAATTATATTTTACAAATATTAAAGTCTCATATTATTGTGTTGGTGTTAAATAATAAAATGTTTAAAATAACCTTTAAATTATTAGTAAAAGTTGCATATCTAGTATTTGCAAATAACTAAAATCTTTTAATCCCATCAAGCCGATCAACTGGCTCGTTGGTCTAGGGGTATGATTTCCGCTTAGGGTGCGGGAGGTCCCGGGTTCAA